AGTACTGTGAGTTTAATATGGATCTATGCAATGCACTGTGGCTTTACACAATGGTACGGCTGATATTATTTAGATCTGATATATCTGGGGCAGAAGATACAAGCTTGAAGCAGAAGTAACACAGCAGCTATATTTGTCTAATATAACCCGCAGTATACTTGCATGACCAGTGAAGTTTTAAAACCATAAATATTAAAAATCATAATGTGCGGATTTATGTACACAATTAAAAAAAAAAAAAAACATATATATTAAGTCATACTAACAGAAGACAGGCACAAAAGCTTTGTTTACTAGAAACTGTATTTTAAAAAATATCCAGAAGGATTATAATTTTTTGCTACAGATCAACAGGTAACACGTTTGTCACAATCAAATAGGGGAGCATAAATATTATTTTTGTTTTGTATATTTATTTATGCTTTATCTTGTGTTTTGCAAGTGGAAACTGCAAGGAGGTGCAGGGAGCATATTATTATGGAAAACGTAGCACAGACATGATACAGGTTCTACTTTCATTACACTGTGATAGGAAGGTTGTTTAATCCAAACATTTCGTCAGGTGCTTTTTGAATGGTGTCCAAGCAATATCATACATTGCAGAGACTTGCTATACATCAATTCTCACAAGCTCGTTTGAGCAATGTCCTTATCAATCTCTTGTTCCTGGCAAAATCTGTAATAGTTGTTCCTATTTCGAATATAATATTGTAAAGCGCTGTGCAGACATGGAACACAACTGTTCTCCCCTAAGATGGACGAGTTTAGGATTCAATACATAGGGTCATCTATTGAGGAGAGCAATGGAGACTTGGTAGACAGCCATGTGACAGTAACTGGGAAAAGCTGTTTAGTTTATGGCATCTTTCTAAATGTTATATTCCTACAGAAGCAATTCAGGTTGTTTTATTGACCCACCAATGATATGCCATAAAGTGCCTTAAAATAGAGTATGTATTGAGTTATGCATTCACAATGGAAAAACCCTGGGCCTGTTCTTTTAATTACACTGTTTGCTAGCTAAATCATTTAACATTTTGCCTGTACAAATAAAAATCAAGAAGGACAAGAGCTGTTTCAGTTAACTGCATCGACTAGGTCAGGGTGCATCTATCTCGTACCGTAAAAGTAGAAGATAAGAAATTTAATATATATATTAGCAGAAATAGCAATAAATGACTTCAGACAAAAGGCCCTTCTAAATGTACATCTGTTTAAAGGTGACAATATTTCACTGATTGCAAGGCTATAATAAAAAACAAACAAAAAAAACGAGATAATTATAAGCAATTACTAATCAGTGAAAAATGTAACAGTTGAAACAGTTCAAGGTAAACAAATAGTGGGTTTTAATCTGGATATTGACCAACAAACTCCTCAACAGTAGTGAGGGGGAAAAAGCCAAATAAGTAGTTTGTAAGTTTATATAATTATTTAAGAAGCTGCCAGAATGTATGGTAAATGGAATACAAATGTAAAGATGGCCAAGCTTCAATGCACATAGCAGGCAACAGTATATTTAATAATATGCAGTACAATCATTGTCAACAGAATCAGTGATATAGTAACATAAAACCGACTTTACGGTAATCATCTCAATATAAAATAATCAATCAACAAAATAACAAAACACATTAATAAGATGTACATGCAGACAACACTGAATATCAAACCATTTCTTTACAAGAAGAATCAATCTACTGGTAGTCCTTCGTGTAAAAGACTCTTCTTTACCCAGTCGAAAACTGGTCCAAACAGATTTTGAATTAAAATTGGGATTGTAAGAATATAAGGATATGAAAATTAAAAACAAGTCAGCAAACAGAAAATTGTCACCAATTGGTATTCTTTGAGTCACCATTGGCATGTAGCTTGTAAATTGTGATCAGCTGTACTCAGTCCAATCTTTATTTAAAACAAACTTGATTCCCAGCTAATTTATATAATCCACAAACATGTTTTTTCCATGTTCCTTAAAGAAACTAAAGAAAAGTTTTCATATTGGAGATAGAGAATATATATATATATATATATATATATATATATATATATATATATATATATATATATATATATATATATATATATATATATATTTTACCGGCACTCCTAGGCTTTCCAAAAAAGTATTCTTTATTCCAGAGGATAAGATCAACGTTTCAGCTCCATTATGGAGCTTTCATCAGGATATATATGATGGTTTCAAACACCATACTGCTATTTATGTACTTTTATCTCTTTATGTATGCATTTCCTTCCAAATGAACACTTACCAGGGGTTCAGCCATCACAACTTCAATTTTCTTTTCTGCTTGTACAGCAAATTCTGCAAAAAGGCTCTTGATGACATACTCTCCAGGTTTGACATCTGGATCTATGGTAATGTTTGACATGATGGCACTTCTCTTTTCCCAGGTGCAGTTGTTGATGGGCAAGACCCGCCGCTTGTTTACACTGCTGGCTGGTGCAGATGCTATTGGAGAAACAAACAGTAGAAACATTAAGTATATATCTGCATCAACATGCCAATGCACTCTACTTAAACAAGCACACGAAAAAAAAAAAAAAAGTGTGTTTTGTAAAAGTATCAATAGCTGAAAATGAGGAATTTGGCCACTTTCCATTTTCCTTAAGACCCAAAATAAGAGAAACAGGCTAGCTATAGAGGAGAGAATGGGTAATCTATAGCTTCATGTTTTGATATTGGTTTTTGTTGTATAACCCATGGTCATTTTCAGTTTGAAAAATCCTAACTCAGTTACGTGGGAAAAATAAATACCTCACAAAATCACTGCAAAATTAGAAATGTAAAGGATAGGATTTTTATGAAATACTCACATTGATGGTGTTGAAATTTATTGTTAAAATACTGGAGCAAGGGCACTAGAGCATTAGGAATACTGGTTTGCAATTCCTAGAGCTAAAGTGATCCTTTAATGTTTTAATGCCAAACGAGGGTCTCCAGCAGCTCATTTCTTCTGCTGCTTGTCGACCACTTTCAGCTGCCAATTGCTGGTATGAATAGAAGGGAGTGTGCAAGCTCTGCCCTAGCCAAATCCAGTATGGGAGCGATGTGTGTGGCCAGGGACTCCTATTTAATGGTAAACTGCTCAAAAACAGTTTAACACTTCATGGACAGCTAGGGCTTCCAAACATTACACATTAAGATGAAATGGTTATACTACCTACAATGTCCATTTAATATATAGTTACAATTGGGAGTATTGAGATTCATCAGCTCTTCTCTAAAGTCAGGGGGTACTATACATATGAACAAGGGGGGGGGGGAGGAGATGGGGAAGGAAAGTAAACATGCAGGCTGCCATATATAATTTGGGTCTATTTACACAAAAAAAGTTATAACACGAGATTATTTCTAATATGCAGACATGGATCACAACCATTTTCGTTTGCATATTAAAGGACCACTATAGTGCCAGGAAAACACTCGTTTTCCTGGCACTATAGTGCCCTGAGGGTGCCCACACCCTCAGGGACCCCCTCCCGCCTGGCTCTGGAATGGGGAAAAGGGGTTAAACGGATGATGTTACCACGCACCCAAATCACTAGGAAAGTGCTTATGGAAGTGAGTGAAAATCACAGTGGCTGTCAATGAGACAGCCACTAGAGGATTAGGGGGAAGGCTTAACCCATTAATAAACATAGCAGTTTCTCTGAAACTGCTATGTTTATGAAAAAATGGGTTAACCCTAGAGGGACCTGGCACCCAGACCACTTCATTAAGCTGAAGTGGTCTGGGTGCCTAGAGTGGTCCTTTAAGAGACCTGAAGACAGATAAAGTTGGTTATATAGTTACCAGGTTTCTGTGGGCTGTGCTGATATTTTAGTTGGGGTGAGTTCACAGCCACAAATCGAACATGGCTTTTGTGAGACTAAGAAGTATTTGGTGCAAATAACAAACAAAGTACCTATAATAAAAGCATATTAAACCATGCATAGTTTTTATGAGTCTGTCTGTCGGGAAAACAGCTCGTAAATTGTGCAGCAAGATAAAATATAGCATGGTGGTTGCCTAATTACCAGAGTTGCATGATTTGACTTTACAACCTTATTGGATGGTCCATTAAAACTGTATGATTGCCAGCTTGACAGGCAACAGACTGTGTCCTGGCAGACCTGTGCGTACTGCGAACTACATAAGCAATATAAGTTTGTTTTTCCTTACGTACTTCCTGCCATTACCTCAATATAGACTGCACTTGACCTCAATTACCCCAATCAGCAGAATCACACAATGCCAGAATAATATGAATCAGTCAAAAGCTCCCACAGCAAACATGGGATTTCTCATAGCTGCAGTTATAGGGAAACAAGTGAACAATCATTACACATTTCAGTACTGTATTATTCAGTATCATTACATAGTTTCTAGTAAATCAATGCCATAAAAACATAACAATGAGAGTTCCCAAAATAATATGTGGCAAAGTTCTAAAAGGTGCATGTGGGATGACTACTCACTCTGTTTCCATGGTGATTACGCCACTTTAAAAACTAGAGCGCAGAATGGACATTTCCACATAAATCGAAAGAACTGATCTTGTTCTTTACTACATATGGGGATCTGGTAGGATTCACTTTCTCATATCACAAAACAATTTTCAGAGAAAAGGCAGAGTTTACTTTGCAGCCTAGGAACACTTCTAGTGGCCACTTGAGGTGCTTCCTGAGTCAGTGCTGCACAGAGACTCTGAACTTTCCCCATAGAGATGCATTGATTTAATACATCTCTATGAGGAGATGCAGATTTACCAGGACGGCGTATGTCGCAGCCCCCGCTGCTTTGGCTGAGATAATCAGTATTGATAATCTCAGCCTATAGGAAAGGCACTGTGATTGGCTGAGATCACCACTTCTGATTATGTCAGCCAAGTAGGCGAATCAGGGGTAGAGACAGAAATAAAAGTAAGATTTTACTCTATTTACGGGACCCCATGGGAGGCCAGAAGTGCAGGAGGGCTAGTGATTTTAACACTTTAGGGTCAGCAATATGTGTTTGTTTTATTTTTTAAAGGAACACTATATGGTCAGGAACACAATTTAACCCCTTAAGGACCAAGCTTCTGGAATAAAAGGGAATCATGACATGTCACACATGTCATGTATCCTTAAGGGGTTAAAATAAATAATAGAGAGAGCAGATACTGCAAAGTTTGTGCAATGTTTGCAAAGAGCCATACCTCTAAACTACGCTGTGTTAACTGGGACCATTCGTAACTTGGATTCCTGTCCTGACTTTCAGGAACTTATTCATAGTTTTCCACATTTGGAAATACCATGCAATTGTTCGTAGGCACTCCGGCAATCTAGCTCATGGACACCGCTCTTCAGTAACAATCTGGGCATCTGCGCCCTGGATGGGACTGATAAGAGATGATGGCCTGATATATAGGTTCATGCCAGGCTGATTTATCTCCTTTTTAGGCACAACTGCTCCTTCCCCTTGTGGGGTCTCAGACATGCCTTCAACCAGCTCACCCACCACACCAAACCAAAAAGTAACGAAGCAAAATAATGCTCACTTAACCTTATTAAAGCACATCAATGCTTATTGTATAAATATTGTTTAGCAAGGGATTGCGTGATACAGAAATATGAAAAAAAAAGTTACATGGAAATAAGAACCGCATGACTGTTTTCAGATTGGAAATTTATGTTGAATATATTTATGGCAGATTTTACTCATACTTTTAACACAATAATTTTAATAAATTGTACTTTTATATTGCAGAGCTCTAATGCATTTTCTGGCAGTTGCTACATTGGAAATTACTGTCAGACCCATGATAGGCACCCATGACATGCATTGCATACAGCAAGCTTATGGCTTTAAAACAGGTGTGTGGTTCATTAAGATTTTATTCATAAACAGACTTGTCCTACATGAAAGTTACTTCTGAAGAAACCCCACAGTGAAACGCGTTAAGTGTGTTTTTAGGCCAATGTTGGATTACTTCTGTTATATTATTTTAAGTTTGTTTATTATTTTAGGAATAAAGTTTATTACTGTAAATGAAAATTATTTTGCATTTACTTTGTACCTCATTGGCTACCTGGTTTATACCACGCTTTGGTCCTGCATATCCTAGGTGGGAATCATACCGCTCCACCATACCAGAGCAGGTTCATGCTCTATAAAATGTGAGTAAAACACCTATCACTACTTTATAGATGAGCTTTGTGCCATACATATTACTCTATTTGATGTTCCCATTTATGTCTCCACATACTGCACTTTACTGAGGAAATACCATCACTACTGCTGAACATACATCCTTAGACAGGGATTATACTATCCATACCAATAACAGCAGAGCTCTTAGTAGCTCTCGAAAGGTGTGAGTGTGCTTTTGTTACAAAACACTACCCCAATTTTTTTTTTAAACATATTGCACTAATATTGTCTGTTCTCCCTTGTTTTGTCTTTTTGAGAAATCCATCAACAAACAAGACCTTGTTAATATATGTATGTATATACCTCTTGTGTGTGTGATTTCACCTAAAAATTTAAAGGTTATTTTAGTATTGCATTTTAAAACATCTACTTTTAAATAATTGCATGATTCAGCGTCCTATGGTCGAAAGTCAACAGCTCCATTGTAACTATAAGAAACCCAAACCATGAGGCAGCAGTGACAGAAAGTATGTACTTATAGAGAACAAATATAAATAAAATCCCCCCAAAATAACTCATTAAAAGGAAGCAGCCAGCATATCTGTAGCGGAGCTTACACACTGTACTAAATGAATAGGAGTACAATCTTTAATATCTACAGATGTACCCTGGAAGATAGAGGCCTATTTTTTTTGTTCACTAAACACACTAGCAAAAAATAAAAACACTATCATCTCTGCATCTCTTCCACCACTTGAGTCTGGTGTGGAAGGAACCTTCAAACAATACTTGATTATTTTTTACTACAAAGCTAAGCTGAAGGTATTTAGTGATTTTAATCAAAGCACATTTAGACATGCTTGACTTCCATGCACTGCTTTGAAGAGAAAGCAATGAAAACCCCAGTGTGTGTTTCACTTTGCAGCCTTGTACACACCTCACTCAGTAAGGGATGAAAGGGCACATGCCTGTCACTCTGTATAGTTTCTGCAATCTTAGCAATTACCCACATTATTTTCAGTGCTTATTTCAACGGGAAAACAATGCAAATATTAGAAGATATGTCCTTTGTACCGCAGGGGCCTGAATTTTCTCACATCACCATAGACACAGTACAAGCAGAACATTGTGTTTTGTGTGAATAAAGTGCAGTGTGTTCCACAAGCTTTGAAAGTGTCTTGATTTTATTTATTTTTTTGCTGGCTATTGCATGTATAAATGCAAAATCTCACTGTGCAGATATTAAGCATTGTTAACTTCTGTGAATTCCGCCTTTCCCATGTCTGAACATGCATGGCGAACCGCACATGCCAAAAGTATAAATTTGTTTACAAACCAAACAAACTTGTGTATTCCAAGGGGGAATGTAAATAAGGTAACCACTACAGATTATTGTTAAGATTATCCTAAATATTTAGTTGAGGCTACCAAAGCATCAATTGTAGATCTACAACAGCCATAATGGCCATCCCACTTCTAAATAACTGGGTCTATGGTGCCAAACTGAGCATGCAGTAATTGTGCTCCCATGCAGCTGAATGACAACTATTAAAACGGAAGCACGAAAATGTTATGGAGGTATTCTAGTCACAGGTATGGTGTTGATTACCCCATTCTTGCACCCATTTTCACAATCAGAAATTTAAAGTGGATGTATCAATTCCCTGAATGTCGCTAAAGTGGAAAGTCCATCATGACCTGACATTTGCACTACTATCCCTTCCCCATTAAAGGAAGACTATAGCGTCAGGAACACAAACAAGAATTCCTGACTCTATAGTGTTAAAACCACCATTTAGGTGGCTTGCTCCCCCTCAGCCCACTTAGAAAAGGTGAAAACTCACCTTATTTCCATCGCCACAGGTCCTATAGGGAAAGCATTGGATTGGCTAAAATCGGCAAGGGGCGGAGCCAAATGCTGTTTCGGCCAATCAGCACTTCTTCATAGAGATGCATTAAATCAATGCATCTCTATGAAGAAGTGCATTAAATCAATGCATGCAGAGCGTGGAGACGCTGAACGGCAGTGATGCCTACTGTGCAGCACTTAGCCAGGAAGCATCTCCAGTGGCCATCAGAGGAGTGGCCACTTGGAGGTGTCCCTAGGGGCAATGCAAACACTACCTTTTCACTGAAGAGGCAGTGTTTGCATGAAAAGGCCTGAAGGCAATGATTATACTCACCAGAACTACATTAAGCTGTAGTTGTTCTGGGGACTATAGTGTTCTTTTAAATGTTCCCATGGAGTAGAAGAAGCTATACCAAGGAAGCTTAATAAGACCTCAGGGTAGTATATTTTATAGAGCTCCAGAATTTACAACAAACAAGAAAATGCATGAGTAGTGGAATTTCCACTATGGTACAAGACACAAAAATCAATGCCAAAATTTTCATAAGATGCTAATTTCTCTTTTAAATTCGTATTAAAAGAACTCACCGAAGTGTGTCTAATTTTGAATGTAAACATTGCAGTTTCTATAAAACTACAATGTTTTACATTGCCGGGCTACAAGGCACATGGCTGCTGCACCCAGGCTACTACATTGAGATGAAGTGGGGTCTGGGTAACCTTGGTGACCCTCAAAGTTACAAAATTACATCATAATTCAATAGAGACAAGGCAAAGTTAGGGCAAACAATGTAAATGACAATGAGTAATAGAAACGTTGTTTAATTTCTCCTCTTTTTAGATGTTCTAGCTCTGTGATGGCTGCCAGGTGCAAAGTACATAGTTTGTAACAGCGACCGACAGGGAGCCAAGCTAGAAGAACCCACTGGAAAGAAAAGGGCATGAGGATTATTGTATTTAAATTTCTCACACCTCACAGATACATATGTGTTTAATTTAGCAGAGATCATTTTAACATGATATTTAAAACCCTGGGAAGTTACAGTTTCAAACTGGTAATATCAACTAAATAAAAATATACACATTGTTAAAAAAACAAAAAACAAAAAAAACTTTACCTTTTTGCTCAGCAGTAACAGAAACACACACAAAAAAAGTTTTACTAATACAATTCAAGGTAACTTCTAGCATTGTTCATCAGCACGCACCTTGCAATGAATTTCATAGTTATATCACGGTTTAAACCACAGCATCTACATCAGCGTGTTTACATTTGTGTATTGTACTTGTGAATGCATTTGTAAGATTTACAAATACCAATGGATAAACCAAAATGAATACCAATAAGAAGGGAATACTAAATGTTTAAATGATGCTGCATAAGGACCCCTTAGCGCACTTACTATTATAAGCTGTAAAAAGATACAAAAGAGTACAGTAAGATAAGGGCACAATTAGGACGTTTCCCACTCAGTCTGGGTTTAAATGAGGAACAATGTGTCGGCATAAAAAGGCTGCAGATTATACAGCCATACTGCTGCCAGTTTGAGAATGGCAAGTGGCCATGAGCATGGGATATATCATATCCATTGTATGTCATGAAAATAAAGTAGCATTTTTCTAAACAAAGAGTTCAGAATTGTCACCAACTCACAGATTTATATCCCATCACATCAAATAAATAGTATTTTTCACAACACTCTGGTTAAGGCATTTATTCATTTTACACGGGTACATGTGTAGAAAGAATGAATGAGATTAAATGATATTCCATTCAGTGAGGGGTGTGTGTGCCATATTAATAAATTCATAAATAAAGAACACACACACCTGGCTGTTGGTACAGGTGCAGAAATCTCATTTACACAAAAACCTTTTTTCTAATGAGGATTTGAAAAGTAAAACTTTAGTGCAAGATCGTAACTCAATATAATCATGTTGATCATTCGAAATGCAGTCTGACAATCTGCTAATAGCTCACGCAGTGTGCACCTGCATTCAATTATGAAAAGTAACCAATTTTAACTATTCTAGCAAACTACAGACTACACTGCCACTCACCCACCCGTGTGAAAAACGGTGTATTAAAGCAAATTACTGGAAGCATAGAATTTGTCATAAAGTCACCTTTGGGTTAAAACCTTGAGATACAAGAGCAAAATCTATAACCTTATAAACTTAAAGCTAACCGCTTTAAAAAAAAAAAAAAGTTCTCTCTCTCTTCTCCTATAATCTGGTGATAAAGTGGCAGTTGTAAATTAGTTAATAAAGATATAAGATAATATATCTTGCCACAAAAA